CCAAGTATGTAAGTATTTTATTTATCACCGAAGAAAAAACACAGCAGCAAGTTCTGTGTTGGCTTCAATAAGACCAAATGGTTACTCTTTCACACAGCTACTACACTCCAAAATTGAAGTCAACACAGTCATCACTACAAATTACTTGTTGAAATAATCTATCCTGAAGAAAGAAAATTAGGAAAAAGAATTTAAACAATTCCTCCAAACCACACATTTATAAATATCGTTGTATTTAAAATGCTTGAAAGGCATGAATTAGTGGAAAAGCAGTTTTCTTTTGGCAACAGAAGAGAAGAAACAGCAACAGTTTACCAAATGCTCTAGGAATCCACAGCTGTACTGTTCTGATCTGCACTTGAGCAGCATTGTCATGGTGACTACAGAATGCTTTATACTCACCTCTCTCAAGTCAAGTCTACAGAAACCCATTGCAACCAGTGTTTGTAATATCTACTACACTGATCAGAAGCTACAAACTGCCTAAATGTAGTTAATAGTAAATACCTAAGAAGGTATGTTCCCACTAATGATGGGAAGGCTGTCAGATCCGTTGGCTTAAAGGGTTTTCAAATATTTTAACAGAACCTTACCTTATTCCAAATTAATATCTGATATTTCAAAAATCAAAAAAAAACAAAAAAAAAATCAATTGTATACCAAGATATAGGTGTTAACACCTGAAGGGTTCATTTTTATTTTTTAGTTTTTTTTTAAACAAATGATTGATGAAATAATGCAACACCTTAAATTCCAGAAAATGGCATGGTTTTTCAACCTCCTGTGAATACAGTGCATGATCAATCTATTATATATGATTAATACAAGTTCATGCTTTTTGTGTTATGGTGAGACAACATTAAAGAATTCAATTTAGACTGGGTGAAGCACAAGTATAATAATCCTTGAATATGATCAAACCTATGCAAGAGATAAGTTTGACTCCATCATCTTGGGACTTAACGTCGTACTGTGGTCCATCCATCTTCATCAGTTTCATTCTTAGTACGACGAAGGGACTCCCTATCTTTCTCAGCTCTCCAGGATGCTTTCTCTTTCTCGCCTTCTCGTTCTCTCTCTCTTTCTCGATCTCTTGAAAGAGTTGGGGGAGGAACACGACGAGGTAGATCCCTTTCTTCGGTCCGGTCATCTTTCCTGTCATCAGCCCGTCTCCAAGAGCTTGCTACAAAAGTTTTGAAAAAAATTTAAATGTTAAACTTGAACTATTTTATTGATTCAAAATAAACAAGTGAAGCTCAAGAAATGCCTGCTTTAAACTACTGAGAAAACCAACAATGCAGAATCACACTAAAAGTCCACATTTTAATTATTTTGTGTCATTTATGACAAAAAACCTTTGAACTTGCAGACATAAATGGAAAAACTGCCAACAAACAAAAGTCCTTGACCATGGAAATATCTTAATAGTTATAAATCAAACACAAGATAAAAAAATATCAGAATAAAAATGTCACACAGAAAGGATTTGACTTGAATTTTATCAAATGAGTCATAAAATGTGAGATTTTAAGTTATAGTTTTAATACTCTTCTGCTCCTGCCAAGCAAATTGTTAAAAGCATGTAAGGAAGCCGGGCGTTGGTGGCGCACGCCTTTAATCCCAGCACTTGGGAGGCAGAGTCAGGCGGATCTCTGTGAGTTCGAGGCCAGCCTGGGCTACCAAGTGAGCTCCAGGAAAGGCGCAAAGCTACACAGAGAAACCCTGTCTCGAAAAACCAAAA